ACGTAACTTAACGTAACGTTAACGTAACGTAACGTAAGTAACGTAAGTAACGTAACGTAACGTAACGTAACGTAAGTAAGTAAGTAAGTAAGAAGAGAGAGAGAGAGAGAGAGAGAGAGAGAGAGAGAGAGAGAGAGTTAACAACTTCATCTACCGCCATTTTTATGCTAAGGAATTACAAATGGAGAAAAAACCCAAAAATGTAGCATAAAATACCCAAAAATTAATGATTATTCTCAAAATTAATATAATTCAGTATTTAAATATCTACCTATGTAACATAAATTTGTCCGACATTCAAAAACTGCAAAACTAACATAAATGGACTAAAAATCTACGATAAACTCACAAGATAAAGTTCGAACTAGCCACAATTTGGCATTGAAATCACTGAATGAAGAAATATTTCCCCAGATATTCTTCTTTAACCACCATGGAAGCTCTGCAACTTCTCTCTTTCTAAAGACGCCAGTGAGTGAAACTGGCAAAGATGCCGCCCTTTTTTAGCATGAATCTTGAGAGAAAATGACTATAATAGCCCCACTATTTTAGTTAATGACAAAAATAGATGCCGATTAACTAAATGTCGATGCGGCCTTTTTCTCGCAATAATCTAGAGAGAGAATGACTATAATAGCCCCATTATTCTAGTTAATGACAAAAATACCCTAATTTTACTGTTATTACACTACATGGACTACAAGACTATGTATGGCGTATAAGCTACTGGAGACCTGTCCCTATCTAGTTTCCATTTAAATTCCTTTTTATAGTATTGGAAACCCAACCTAAATCACTGCAAAGATGTCTTTGCATTGCATTCATGAATTAATATGGCAATATATAAAATAAAATAATTTCAATATTTTCAAAATAAATTATTTTGAAAGTTTAAAGTGTATTACTTACGTATTCATGATTGTAGTAGTTGAGATTGTCGACTTATAAACTTAGAATTTGAAAGAAATGCACATTAGAATGAGCTTCATGATTGTAGTGGTTGAGATTGTCGACTCATGAAACTTAGAATTTGAAAGAAATGCATATTAGAATGAGGTTCATCTACTGATGGATCAAAACACCTAAACCTTGCTCATTGATCATAGAGAAAATTACAAAAAAACACTTTAGTCTTTTCTTTCACTTTTTTCCCTAAACAACCTTTCCTCGCAAATAACCCCCTAACCCAAAAGTGGCATGAAATAAGAGTAAACTACTATTGTTTGTTTTCACACGCCATTCGCTCTCTTATTTTCACATGCGCTCAGGCAGTAAAAACATGCGCTTCGGCATTCTGAATGCGCACTCCGGCAATGCAGGTTTGAGCCATAGCGCTCCGGCATTATGAGAACTCGCTCCAGTAGTGCAAAGACATCTCCGGTATTCCGTTCCGACAATGAAGTCTCTAGAGTCACAACACTCCGACAATGGAGGATCGCGCTCCGACAGTATAAACAAGTACAAACGCATTTTGAATGTGCGCTCTGGCAATGCAGGTCTATGCCACAGCGCTCCGGCATTATGATAACGTGCTCCGTCAGTGCAAAGACGCGCTCGGACAGTACGCTACTTGGGACCCGTGAATTGATTTGGTTTGTACAGGATGGGCATTTCCGTTCAAAACATAATAACCTTTTTTACCTTGGGGGGTTTTTGCAAGAAAATGTTGTTTTGAGGAAAAAAGTGAGAGAAAAGATTGGGGTGGGGTAAGTTGCATAGATAGTTCATTTTAGGGTGTTTTTTTATAATTTGCCCTTGATTATATTATCCGGGTATGGTTTGTATAAGGTGTCGATATTAAACATTCAAAGTAAAGCGCACCTCGAAGACATACCAAACCTTGCTCATTAATTATATTATGGGTACGGTATGTATAAGGTGTAAAGCGCACCTCTAAGCCATGCCAAAAACATGCAGTTTCAATGCGGTAACGCCTTTATGATAACTTGAAACTATGTTTTGCCCCATCTATAAAATTAGCTCGCTAGAAAATGACATGCATGTAGCTTTTTCTTGTAAAATTACATAGGATGGCGGGAAGAGTAGAAGCCCTCTATTTTTAGGTTTCATTTCACAATAAGCTCAAGGTTTTAAAAGATATCTTAAGGCATAAAAATCATAGATTTTATTTCTTCTAACCCCCTGAGCTAATTTAAACTTGTTTTTTGGGCCAAGCAAATTTAAAAATACATGCCTTCTCTAAAAGCCAGCCTCCCAAACTTCAAGAGAGATGAGAGAGAGAGAAAAAGGCTTCGTGGAGGTAAGAGATTACTGAGAGGAGAGAGAGAGGTGTTTAGAGAAACACATGAGAAAGAAAGAAAGAAATTTGGGTATATAAGTGAAGAGGGAGAAAGGATTGGAGTTAGAAAGAACATATCTTCCTCACATTTGTTTAGGTTAAAAAATAGGTTTAAAGTGACCCGAGATTAAAAGAAATCTTTTAAAACCTTGGATTTATCAAGAAATGAAACATAAAAATAAGAGATAAAAAGATATTTTTTCTTTAATTAATGAACTTGAGAATCGCCGTAGGATGAAAATTCTCAAAAGGATATTTATAAAGAGTTTCGGGTTCTATTTGCCCTGCAGTTGGATTCTTAAAGAGTAAAACTTTACCTTTAGCTTCTGCAAACTTGTTTAAACTTTACCTTTACCTTCTGCAAACTTGTTTATTGATACCACTTATTGTAAAATGGAGATAACTCAATCAATCCTTTTGAGCAAATCAGGATATCTTAAATCCCAGTAGATGTTGGGAAAATATAAAAAACAATAAAACAACAAACAATATAGGAAATCTTCAAAGCACAACACAAATGAATCCACAGCAAATCGGGATACCTCAAATCCCACTAGATGTTGGGAAAATATAAAAAACAATAAAACAACAAACAATATAGGAAATCTTCAAAGCACAACACAAATGAATCCACAGCAAATCGGGATATCTCAAATCCCACTAGATGTTGGGAAAATATAAAAAACAATAAAACCACAAACAATATGGGAAATCTTCAAAGTACAACAAAAATGAATCCACGGGCAAGACGGCAAAGATGTATTCCCGGCAAAGATATATTCACTATCAAGAGGAAAAATTTATAAAATTAGTCATTCCTTTGACTCACCGATGCTGCGAAGAAATACTGACAAAAACAGTCCACCAGTACTAGGGTTTTGTTGTAAAACCCCCAATTTTCAACCCCAAGCTTCTTGCTTTACAAGTTTTCTTTCTACATCACTCACCCTCCCTCACTCACCCACGCGTTTCTTCCTCTATCAAAACCTTTTAAGAGGTTCCACTAAAAAAAGTTCTATTTTTAGTGACAAAAATACCCTTTAATAAGAGGGAGAATACTATAGAGCCATAAGGTGTGATTTTTGCATCACATCCCAACCGTTGAAGGAAAATAAAATTAAAACTCAATTACAATGACGAGCCAATAATGAAAACCTTTCATTTATAGTTTGATTTGAAGCTCGAAATATCCAAATTACAAAAAACTATAAAGATAAGTGTCATTAACCTCAAAAGAGATCTTAGAGTTAAACTTTGGTGCACTACAAAATGTTTCAAATGTGAAATGTTTTACAGTTCCTATATAGTGTGAAGCGTTGGTGCAAGTGTGTCAAATGTGAAATGTGAAATGTTTTACAGTTACTGTATAGTGTAAAGTGTTGGTGCAAGTGGAAAAATGTTGTACAATCCTTCAGAGCAGCTTTTGGCAAGCAATTTGGTACTCCTTACATCGTAAAACTGGAATTCTCCTCTGTTGCTGTTGCGGCCTGGATCGACAATGAGGAGAGAATTGTTGTTCAAAATCAGAAACATATCACTTAGAACAGGATAAATGTTGTTTCCTCCAAGGCTAATTTGGATCACTTTATCCCACTTCATATTGCTTAAAACCCATATTTCTAATCCCCGCTCCTGACATTTATGAGCCAAGCAGACCAGCTCTTCTCCGCATCTCACCAATTTCAATCGTACTTCTGAGAAATTCAGTATCGAAGGTAACGCGATGCTGTCCCATTCTTCTCTCCATATAAAAAATGAACGAGCGATATTCGTCAAATGACCTGTGATCTGAAAACTCCAAAGCATGCGGCCTGGACACACAGGAACATGCCTATAGACAATAGTGATATGTCCATGCTCATAGTCCTGTTATCATTGACCGGTACCCAGTCGTCGGCCCCCCCGGAGACCCTTTCCCAGTATCCCATCAAGGAGCTGAACATCCAAAAGCCCCTTACATACCCACCCATCATGAATATCTTGAATGATTCATTGGTGGTGTCGTGATAAAACCCAAACTTATTTAGAGTCAAAGGGAAAGCAGGAATGAGTCTTTTCATGTGGGTTGCAGGGTTGCACACCAATAAGTCCCATCCGTGTTCCCAATTTCGAAATAGAGGCTTGCACTCGCACCTCGTCCCATTGTATCTGTGTATGAGTTTGTGGACATTAATATATGTCGAATATTAATTTGTTTTTTAACGACTATGCTCATTCTTTCTCTCTAGAAGATTCATAAGTGGCGGTTTAACTGAATCGATGGGGTGTTTGGTGAAAAGACGTGTACAATGTGAAGGGGTGCTTGGTGTGAAGAGGTGTACAATGTGATGGGGTGTGTGGCCCTTTGTAGACTATATGTATAGGCGGTTAATTGAGTCTATAAATAATAAGACATTATTGTGATGTAATATGTGTGTTGAGATAGAAAGGGCAAGTTAGGCGTAAATGAAAGATTGTGGTTGCTCTATTGTACTACAGCCTTGTGTTCTATTCTAAAGCAATAGTGAAAGTGTCGATTGATTCAATCCAAGCTTCTTATATATTTTTTGAGTTGAAACTCTTTTATTTTATATTTTGAATTCTTTTTTGTTGCAACAAATTTCTATCAAACTGGTATCACAGCACGGTTCGAAAAGAACCAACTACAAGGTCCTCGTCTTACAAAAGAAAATTATGAAAATTGGTGCATTCAGATGAAAGCACTACTCGGATCACATGATGCGTGGGAAATTGTTGTAAAAGGATACAATGAACCCAGAACCCCAGAAGATGAAGCAGAAATGACAAACAATTAGAAGGCTATCTTAAAAGAATCAAGGAGACTAGACAAGAGAGATATGTTTTTAATCTATCAGGGCATTGACAAAAACACCTTTGAAAAGGTTGGTTCTGCCATCTCTTCAAAACAAGCATAGGAGATCTTACATAATGTTTTCAAATGAGAAGAAAAAGTAAAGAAAGCTCGTTTGCAAACATTAAGAGCCGAGTTCGAGATAATTCACATGAAAGAGATAGAATTAATTTCAGATTACTTCTCAAGAGTGTTGGCAATAGCAAACCAACTCGAGAGAAATGGTAAGGTGCTAGATGAGGTGTGTATCATGGAGAAAATATTAAGATCTCTTACCCATAAATTTGAGCACATAGTTGTAGCAAT